CACACACACACACACACACACACACACACACACACACACACACACACTTCAGTTGCTTTTTGTCCAGTTGGTGTTTTTGTTTTGTTTTATTTCAGATTTTACTTTATATATGTTGTTTTGGCTGATGTGTCACTGTAATTGACTTCACTTGTTCTATAAACACTTTTTCACTCCAAAAAAATAAAAATGAATCCAAGAAGTGCATTAATGTTCCTTAGACTGTGGTGGTCAAAGCATCCGAGGTTCTGCAACAGAATCCTCCAAAGTTTGACAAGATCGAGGACATGGCCATGTTGACCTTCCTCCATGAACCAGCTGTGCTATTTAACCTCAAAGAGCGTTATGCGGCATGGATGATCTATGTGAGTAACCCACAATCCAAGAAACAAGTTTTATGTATGCTGTCACTCATTAAAGATGTGTCCGTGCTTAATTTTGCACCTATACTTAAATAAATATTGTTGCAATGGCATTAGTTGTCTCTATAAGTTGTGGACAAAAACAAAATAATGGCAAATGGTTGATGTGGTGTAATTTACGGGATACAGAGCTTAAATATAGCAACAAAAACGATTTGCTTTGTAAAGATACAGTGGAGTAAAGTCTACCTCAGCAGAGTATGAAGTGTGTGTCGTTATCCAAGCTTCTCCTTACTTTGCCTTTTTTTTTTTACTTACTTTGCATGTTCGTTTTCTCCACTAGAGATCTGAGGTTTCACTCTTTTTACTGACTCAAGTCTGTAAAAAGTCACTTGAGTCACGTAGCGGAGCAGTGAACAACTTAACCCAACTCTGAGATATAGAAAATAACTCTAATTTAACACTGATTGAAATCGATCGAGTAGTAGTAAACTATTAAAAAGGGACACAATAAAATGCATGGACAGTTGAGTGTCGGCAGAGTGTGGCATGGGACTTGTGGGTGAGTGAGTGAGTGATTTGTGCATTGAGTCAGACCCTCAGCTCAGGGCAGAGGCCGACTCCTGTCTGGGAGAAAGATTACTGAGTTAAAAACCATTGCCAATGTTGACGGCATTGTCGAGGAAGTGTAGCGCCCGCCCTCCAGAACCCCCTCAGGTAAACACTTGCCATTGTTTGCACCGTTAGCATTGTTAGCTGTTAGCTGTTGCTGTCAGCCATGGCCATGTTGAGAGCAGCTGAGAGGCAACATAAATGCTCAGAATCCTGTATATTGCACCTATAAAAAAGTAATCTTTTTTTCTGTGCCTCACAGACCTACTCTGGACTCTTCTGTGTGACTGTCAACCCCTACAAGGGGCTGCCAGTCTACAACCAAGAGGTGGTTGTTGCCTATAGAGGAAAGAAGAGGGCTGAAGCTCCTCCTCACATCTTCTCCATCTCTGACAATGCATACCAGTACATGCTGACTGGTAAAACCTAATAACACAAATACCGTTAACTTCTGTTACATGTAATGATGCTGAATCTTTATACTAACAAAGTTGTACTCTATGCTTGTTTTTGTAGACCGCGAAAACCAGTCAATTTTGATCACGTATGTAATGTCTAATACTTGAAACGCATAAATGACACTATATGCTCGGAAATAAAAAAAAATATTCTTCATTACGTCACTGTAGGTTTTTATCACTGACTTTCCAATTTCAGTGGAGAATCTGGTGCAGGAAAGACTGTCAACACAAAGCGAGTCATCCAGTATTTTGCAAGTATTGCAGCTGGAACCGTAAAGAAAGACCCCAATGCCAAGGACAAGGTAAATAATAAGCTCTGTCAAAGGTGTGAGTTGTCAGAGGGGTTCTGGTTAGTCTTAAACTGGCTAAAACTACAGATGACGCTACTACACCTTTTCACTGAAATACAATATACTTGTCTTACTTGCTTAGTTAAATTCCTAGTGTAAAGTAACAAGAGTGCACTGGCGACAAATCAAACTTATGACAAATAACAAATTCACCAACAATGGCTTAAACTCTCTTCAGGATTTCCACTTTCAACAGCTTCTGTGTTGCATAAGTTGGAGGTTAAGAAGTTCCTCAAAATTTCATAAACTGCCGCTAGAGGCTGCTGAAGTCTTCTATGTGTAGCGTGAAACATTAATAACACGGTGCGCATGCACGTCCGGAATGGGCTGCTTCAGTCGTTTGTCGAGAACCGGGGTAGCTGCTTGCATCCGCCAAGTGTGAAGTTGATTGGATGAACGGTTCTCTAGATATGCGAAGGACAGTCATATATACAAACACAGACAGACAGACAGAGAGACAGTCAGAGATTCCTTCCTTTATAGTTAGATGATGCTGGTACAGCACAACCATCTGGCACCACAGATGGTTGCACCACATTCGACACTGCACTCTTTTGTATCTTGAGCAATCCAACTGCCTAGTGTTACATCGATTGGATGAATAGTTCTCTAGATATGGGGAGGACAAAGACACACAGACAGATAGAGATTCCTCGCTTTATAGCTTGATTGAGCATACGCAATGTTCCTTTTTGACAGGGTACCCTGGAGGATCAAATCATTCAGGCCAACCCTGCTCTGGAGGCCTTTGGTAATGCCAAGACCATCAGGAATGACAACTCTTCCAGATTTGTGAGTGTCTAACCTTTATGTGACTAAATTGTGAATATTATATATTCAGTTTCCATAAAAACACAATCAGTGGAAGGAGCAGATATTAAGGTTTTCTTTCCAAAAACTGTATCCTTTCAGGGTAAATTCATCCGAATTCATTTTGATGCCAGGGGAAAGGTAGCCTCTGCTGATATTGAAACATGTAAGAACAAACACCCTCATCCTACATTCACTAATCCTGTAAATGTCATCTTATTCATGTTTTATGGCATACAGTAGTAATATAGTTGACATGACAATGACAATGACATGACAATTTTTCTGTCTTGTTTTTGTCACAGACCTTCTGGAGAAGTCCCGTGTGACCTTCCAGCTCAAGGCTGAGAGAGATTACCACATTTTCTACCAGATTCTGTCCAACAAGAAGCCTGAACTCCTGGGTTAGTGGCTCAGCGGTAGTTGGCCACCACTGAAAGAAAAAGTGGAAAACAAATGGAAAACCATAGCTGTCATTTGCTTTTCATTGTCCACTCTCTCTCTGTCCTCCAGAGATGCTGTTGATCACAAATAATCCCTATGACTACGCCTTCATCTCTCAGGGGGAAACCCAAGTGACCTCCATTGATGATTCAGAGGAACTGATGGCAACAGATGTCAGGCTCTCACTCGTTCCCTTTTTTTTTCACAATCATACATTGAACTCTAATCATAATGACACAATGAGTTACATGGGACTCATATCGAAACAACCCTGTGTAAAAAAAAAATGCAGGGGGGCTGTGATGGTTTAGTGACCGGCATAACAATGACATACAATCCACAAAGTCCAGGAGGAGTAACAGATTAATGTGTTTAAAGACTTATTGGATGCCAAAAGACTGAAAACAGGTTTATAATACTTAGAGAAAGATTTTTCCATCTCTAGAAAGCTATCACAGTAGCAACTATTTCATCTTTTCTCACAACGATCGCGAGGAATACTGTATGGTCAAAATACGGTGTGGTAGAAATACGGTGTGGTAGAAATACGGTATGGTCAAAATACGGTGCAGTAGAAATACGGTATGGTAAAAAGAAGGCGTTCAGGTTAGAATGTGATCTACCAGGAATGTGCACTTGCATGTATTTGATTGGACAACAATCTTGCTGGGGGTTTAACCAGGTTAAAATTTTTTAGGACGACCGTGTTCTTTTGCAGGACCTTTCTGCGTTCTGGCAATATTAATGAAGGAGGGTGCTGTATGTTTTTAAGTCACAAATTTATAATTTTGGTCAAAATTATATTACCGGCACAAATGTTTAGAAGTTATCATGTGCTCCTCCAAAGGAAGCCTTTGACGTTTTGGGATTTACTCAAGAGGAAAAGAACTCTGTATACAAGCTGACTGGTGCCATCATGCATCACGGCAACATGAAGTTCAAGACCAAGCAGCGTGAGGAGCAGGCAGAGGCTGATGGCACTGAAGGTGAGACAAGCTCTGTTTGTCAGGTTGGCTCAGAACCAACCAAGCGAGACACTGTTAACAGCCTTCACTTTTCCTTTTCAGATGTTGACAAAGTCGCATATCTGATGGGCCTGAACTCTGCCGACCTCATCAAAGGTCTTTGTCACCCAAGAGTCAAAGTAGGAAATGAGTGGGTCACCAAGGGACAAAGTGTCGCTCAAGTAAGAAGTAAAAAAGTCAACTTAAATTGTTGTTATACACAAGGTTCTATATCCAGGAAAACTTTATGCTTTCTATATGACTACTTCTGAAGAGACTGAAAAGTTGCATGAAAAAAACGTTTTATTAATTTGTATGCTTGGTATTAAATATGTTGCCTGTCCCCAAGGTGACCTATGCCGTTGGAGCTCTATCCAAGGCTATTTATGAAAAGATGTTTTTTTGGATGGTTGTTAGAATCAACCAGTCACTGGAGACCAGGCAGCCTCGTCAGTACTTCATTGGTGTACTGGACATTGCTGGATTTGAAATCTTTGATGTAAGTTAACTCATTAGCACACAATAAACCAGCCCACTCTTTCAACAGCTAACAAACATTAGCAACATGTTGCTTAACATTTTCATGCCTGATTTAATTTCTGCTCAATATCGATGTCATTCCAGTTCAACACCTTTGAGCAGATGTGCATCAACTTCACCAATGAAAAGCTGCAACAGTTTTTCAACCACCACATGTTTGTGCTGGAGCAGGAAGAGTACAAGAAAGAGGGCATTGAATGGACTTTCATAGATTTTGGTATGGACTTGCAGGCCTGTATTGACCTGATTGAAAAGGTAAGAGACTTGACTATTACATGTTCAGCCATACATGAAGATTGATTGATTTATTTTCTTCAAACCGCTCATGTTTTTGTCCCTTCAGCCCATGGGTATCATGTCCATCCTTGAAGAGGAGTGCATGTTCCCCAAAGCCTCTGATGCCACCTTTAAATCAAAGCTCTATGACAACCATCTGGGGAAATCTGCCAACTTCCAGAAGCCCAGAATTGTCAAAGGAAAACCAGAGGCTCATTTTGCCCTGATGCACTATGCTGGAACTGTTGATTATAATATTGTCAACTGGCTGGTGAAGAACAAGGATCCTCTGAACGAGACCGTTGTAGGACTCTACCAGAAGTCTAATCTCAGGGTGTTATCTGTCATCTTTGCAAATTATGCTGGAGCTGAATCAGGTACCTTGGCATGAATATCTTGTTTGGAAATTGCATGTTTTTCTTGTCTTGCTACACTTACACTTTCAGGTCATCTTTCTGAACAGCTGGGGTTGACAAAAAAGAGAAGAAGAAGAAGGGATCATCGTTTCAAACTGTGTCCGCTCTTCACAGGGTATTGTGATTTATTTTTTAAATTCTTGGATATGGTATTTTGTTTGATGCTAAATAATAATAATAATATATACTTTATTATATTAATATCATCAGGAGAACCTGAACAAGCTGATGACCAACTTGAGGTCTACTCACCCTCACTTTGTCCGCTGCATCATCCCCAATGAGACCAAGACTCCTGGGGCCATGGAGAACCCTCTGGTGATGCACCAGCTGCGCTGTAACGGTGTGCTGGAAGGCATCAGGATCTGCAGAAAGGGCTTCCCCAACAGGATCCTCTATGGAGATTTCAAACAGAGGTATTATTTAATTTAAGTCAGATACTGTACAATTCCAAACAAATGTTAAATAATGTCCTCCAAGATTTATTTTTTTTCTTTTCCAGATATCGCATCTTGAATCCTGCCGCCATCCCTGACGGCCAGTTCATTGACAGCAGGAAGGGAGCTGAGAAACTTCTTGGGTCTCTGGATATTGATCACAATCAGTACAAGTTTGGACATACAAAGGTATCATCTGAAGTTGTTCTGACATTGGGGAAAAGTGAAACATTTTATTTGGAGATGAAGAGGATGGCAAAAAATTAAAACACCTATTGGGGTTGTTAGGTGTTCTTCAAGGCTGGTTTGCTGGGTCTACTTGAGGAGCTAAGAGACGAGCGCCTCTCCAAAATCATCACTGCTATTCAAGCCAGATCCCGTGGTCTGTTGTCTCGTATTGAGTATCAGAAGATGGTGGAACGCAGGTAACCTTTGTGTCCAGCTGATGTCCAACGATTCAAAGATTAATGGTTTGTGATTTGTACAGTTAACTAAAGCATTCTATTATATTTAAAATGTGTATTTTAGAGAAGCATTACTAGTGATCCAATGGAATGTCCGTTCATTCATGGGGGTCAAGAATTGGCCCTGGATGAAGCTCTTCTTCAAGATCAAACCTCTGTTGAGATCTGCTGAATCAGAAAAGGAGATGGCCAACATGAAGGAAGAATTCCTGAAGCTGAAAGAGGCTTACGCAAAATCTGAGGCTCGTAGAAAGGAACTCGAGGAGAAAATGGTCTCTCTTCTTCAAGAGAAGAACGACTTGCAACTCCAAGTCCAAGCGGTGAGAATCCCACTCTACTGCCATTTTCTTTTGAACCTGTCATGAAGCTAATGAGATCAAATGTTTGTCAGGAGCAAGATAATCTTTGTGATGCTGAGGAAAGATGCGAGGGGCTGATCAAAAGCAAGATTCAGCTGGAGGGTAAATCCAAAGAGCTGTCTGAGAGACTGGAGGATGAGGAGGAGATGAATGCTGAACTGACTGCTAAGAAGAGGAAGCTGGAGGATGAGTGCTCTGAGCTGAAGAAAGACATTGATGACTTAGAGTTGACTCTGGCTAAAGTGGAGAAAGAGAAGCACGCCACTGAGAACAAGGTATGACATCTAACTTAACCATTTGCTTCATATCAGCAGCTTAATGCGGCATCCAGTAACCCGTCTTTTCTTGGCTCATAGGTGAAGAACCTGGTGGAAGAGATGGCTGCTCAGGATGAAATCATTGCCAAGTTGACCAAGGAAAAGAAAGCCTTACAGGAAGCTCATCAGCAAACGCTGGATGATCTGCAGAGTGAAGAAGACAAAGTCAACACTCTGACCAAGGCCAAGACTAAGCTGGAGCAGCAAGTGGATGATGTAAGAATCCATATCAAAATTGTACTACTTAGATGGTATTGTGAGTATTGATAATCAAGCAATTCACAAATGTTGTAATTACATTTATTTGCATTAAGCTTGAAGGATCTCTTGAGCAAGAGAAGAAGGTTCGAATGGACCTTGAGAGAGCCAAGAGAAAGCTGGAGGGCGACTTAAAGTTGACCCAGGAGACTGTGATGGATTTAGAAAATGACAAGCAACAACTCGAGGAGCGCCTGAAAAAGTACTAATTCATCATGACATTGTTAATTGACTTTGGTCATTTAATACAGTGTACATGGTTTCAATTAGCTAACACTGGTTTAAAAAAATGCTCCAGGAAAGACTTTGAGATCAGCCAGCTGAACAGCAAAATTGAAGATGAACAGGCCCTGATTATTCAACTCCAGAAGAAGCTGAAAGAGCTGCAGGTACAAACGTGCATTCGTGGGTCTTAAGGGAACGTTAATGTTTTCCCAAAGTATTGCTACATTTTGACACGTTCTGACACTAGGCACGTGTCGAGGAGCTGGAGGAAGAGCTGGAGGCAGAGCGAGCTGCCCGAGCCAAGGTGGAGAAGCAGAGAGCAGACTTGGCCAGAGAGCTGGAGGAGATCAGTGAGAGGCTGGAGGAGGCCGGTGGAGCAACATCCGCCCAGATTGAGATGAACAAGAAGAGGGAGGCCGAGTTCCAGAAACTCCGCAGAGACCTCGAAGAGGCCACTCTGCAGCATGAAGCCACTGCTGCCACACTCAGGAAGAAACAAGCCGACAGTGTGGCCGACCTGGGAGAGCAGATTGACAACCTGCAGAGAGTCAAGCAGAAACTGGAGAAGGAGAAGAGTGAGTTCAGACTGGAGCTGGATGACGTGGTCTCCAGTATGGAACAAATAGTAAAGTCTAAGGTATGTGCTCATGACGATGCTCAAGGTAAATTTCTACACTGGTGGAACTAACTGACAACCGTGTAGTAAACTGAATGATGACTGTTTAATACCTAGAGGTGATGCAACATCAGTAAACTGTGACCAAGAACACTTCCAACTTAAATCTGTTGTTCTTATCAGGCTAGTTCTGCGATAGGCAAAATGACGAACTAGCAATAAGTGTGCCAGAAATGTTGAAGTGCCCTTTCATCAGTATGCCAAATAACCTCTTTCACAGCCATTGGCAATTGTGCAGCCTGTAGTTATGGTAGTTCAATTGATCTTTTTCCCCACCCGCATTCAGCAAAGACCCGTCCTACTCTTCCTCTGATTGGCTAGTTGATTGGCATATTTTTCAAAAATGTATAATGCATATAATGCACATTATATGGATGGAATACAAAATGGACAATTACATTTTGATGCAGTGTCATTTTTAAAAAGAATGTTAATCTTAATGTTGAAACAGGCACACAGATTAACAAGAGAATTAAAAAAATTGGAACTTTATATTAAAAGTGTTGCCAAACTCTGGGCTAGTTGGACCAGACAAATCATAAACTCTTCTATCCCTCTAGGCTGGAACTGGGTGTGCAAGGTAGTATATACATGTCTAATGTTGAAAAGTAGTAAACAATGCCTGTGAACTATGGTTCATTTCTTTTGCAGACTAACTTGGAGAAGGCCTGCAGAACTTTGGAGGATCAAATGAATGAATACAGGAACAGGTATGATGAAAGTCAGAGATCTCTTAATGACTTCACCACCCAGAAAGCCAAGCTTCAATCTGAGAACGGTCAGTGTTACTCTTTTCACTTGAAAAAATAAAGTTTTAACATTTAACGTAGAAGAATGTAATTATAAAACCTACATTTTGCCTTTCTAGATGAGTTTTCAAGGCAGCTGGAGGAGAAAGAATCTCTTGTTTCTCAGCTTACCAGAGGAAAAAATTCCTACAATCAACAACTTGAAGATTTAAAAAGACAACTAGAGGAGGAAATAAAGGTATGAAAATGACAAAAATATATCAATTATTTTTACGTTTCAAAAATAAGTGAATGTCCGAGAGAAATACCCACATTATCAATATTCATCCAGGCCAAGAATGCTTTAGCCCATGCAGTGCAGTCAGCTCGTCATGACTGTGACCTCCTCAGGGAGCAGTATGAGGAGGAGCAGGAGGCCAAGGCTGAACTGCAGCGCGGCATGTCCAAGGCCAACTCTGAGGTGGCTCAGTGGAGAACTAAGTACGAAACTGATGCCATCCAGAGAACCGAGGAACTGGAGGAGGCCAAGTGAGTAAAACGTATTTTGACTAGAACAATTCAGCAAAGTTTAAAAGCAATCAACCCTGAATCAATTTATGATAATGCAGGAAGAAGCTGACTCAGCGTCTGCAGGATGCTGAGGAGGCTGTTGAAGCAGTGAACGCTAAATGTTCATCTCTGGAGAAGACCAAACACAGGCTGCAGAATGAGATTGAAGATCTCATGGTGGATGTGGAGAGGTCTAATGCTGCTGCTGCTGCTCTGGACAAGAAGCAAAGAAACTTTGACAAGGTTGAACTTAGAATACATCTGGCATCTTGGCTCCTTTAGACGGACAATTAGAGTAGAACTGACCTTTAAGCATACATATTTCAGGTGTTGGCAGAATGGAAACAGAAGTATGAAGAGTCTCAGTGTGAGTTGGAGAGCTCTCAGAAGGAAGCCAGGTCTATGAGCACTGAGCTCTTCAAACTCAAGAACTCCTATGAAGAATCTCTTGAACATCTGGAGACCATGAAGAGGGAGAACAAGAATCTGCAGGGTAATATATCGGCGATTGTGTCTAAACAGGTAATAGATGCTAATTGTGTGTGCCAAATTAAATACAACTACTTTCATACACAGAGGAGATTTCTGACGTCACTGAGCAACTTGGTGAGGGAGGAAAAACCGTTCATGAGTTGGAGAAACTCCGTAAGCAGCTGGAGCAGGAAAAGAGCGAGATTCAGTCTGCCCTTGAGGAAGCTGAGGTAAGACTAAAATCTCAAATCCTCAGTTTCTCAAAAGGAAGCCGTGAGTTGGAAAATGTATAAAGTTATCTATCTCAGGGTTCTCTGGAGCATGAGGAGGGCAAGATTCTCAGAGCCCAGCTTGAGTTCAACCAGATTAAGGCAGACATGGATCGTAAAGTAGTTGAGAAAGACGAGGAGATGGAGCAGTCCAAGAGGAACCTGCAGAGGATGATTGACACCCTGCAGAGCTCTCTTGAGGCAGAGACTCGCAGCAGGAATGAGGCTCTCCGTTTGAAGAAGAAAATGGAGGGAGACCTCAATGAGATGGAGATCCAGCTGAGCCAGGCCAACAGGCAGGCGGCAGAGGCCCAGAAACAACTCAAGGCTGTTCATGCACATCTGAAGGTAAACTAAGGACACACATTTTATTTTTTCAAGCACCTTACTATGGAATCGTTGTAACCGGAGGTTCTGAACTTCTTCCAGGATGCTCAGCTCCAGCTTGATGACTCTCTGCGATGCAATGATGATCTGAAGGAAAACAATGCCATGGTCGAGAGACGCAACAACTTGCTTCAGACTGAGCTGGAGGAGCTCAGGGCTGCTCTGGAGCAAACGGAGAGAGGTCGCAAACTTGCTGAGCAAGAGCTGCTGGACGTTAGTGAAAGGGTGCAGCTACTGCACTCACAGGTAAGATGCCGTGGATATCAATATGTCCTAGCATGTTTGTTTTACACACACTGTTACAATGCAAATTCAACTACTTATTTAAAACTAGAACACCAGCCTGATAAACCAAAAGAAGAAGCTGGAAGCTGATACATCCCAGCTTCAGACAGAAGTAGAAGAAGCGGTGCAGGAGTGCAGAAATACTGAAGAGAAGGCCAAGAAGGCCATTACTGATGCTGCCATGATGGCAGAGGAGCTGAAGAAAGAGCAGGACACCAGCGCTCACCTGGAGCGCATGAAGAAGAACATGGAGCAAACCATCAAAGACCTGCAGCACCGTCTGGATGAAGCTGAACAGATCGCCTTGAAGGGAGGCAAGAAGCAGTTGCAGAAGCTCGAGGCCAGGGTGAGTGTTTCTCGTGATGTGTTATTGTTGGCAATTATGGCGAAGGAGTTATTAGGTGGGTTATCCAAAACATATTTTCCCTGACCAGGTGAGGGAGCTGGAAAGTGAAGTGGAAATGGAGCAGAAGAAAAGTGGTGACACTGTGAAGGGCATCCGTAAATACGAGCGCCGCATCAAGGAACTGACCTATCAGGTTCGTAGCATGAAGCTAGCTTCATTAATTGGCATGTGTGGTTAAAGTTATTCAAAAAGAAAAATAACGTAATAACCTTATTCACAAAGACTGAGGAGGACCGCAAGAATATTGCCAGGCTCCAAGATCTGGTGGATAAGCTGCAGCTGAAAGTGAAAGCCTACAAGAGAGCTGCTGAAGAGGCTGTAAGTGTCGAGATGTAAGTTTTGATCCGGCTTCTTCGTCTTTCAATGTGTAACTACATATTTATTTTGTTCATCCTAAACAGGAGGAGCAGGCTAATGTTCATCTTGGCAAGTTACGCAAGCAGCAGCACGAGCTGGATGAGGCTGAGGAGAGAGCCGACATCTCTGAGTCTCAGGTCAACAAGCTGCGTGCCAAGACCCGTGACGCTGGCTCCAAGGTTTGAAGCATGCACTCTGCAGCAGGTGCACAGCGCCTCACCCTACCACATGCTGCTCTCTGCTGGCTGCATTTAACACCTTGCACTGCTCTTCAAGCATTAGCACAAATACATGTTTGGTACATTGCAGAGTTTCGGTTTGTATTAGTCTGTTAATGAATATGTTGCTTTGTGGCATTCAAGCATTACTAATCTGAAGCCCTAACAGCTGTTTCTCTTTTTCTTTCTTTCCAATTTCCCCGGCTGTAACAGAAAGGGTTTGATGAGGAGTGAAGCTTTGGAACCTGGAGAAATCCTTTTGCCTGCTGTGTGATGTAGATTTACAACCAAGTGCTCGGCCCACATTGAGTTTCCTGAAATTTCGAGAATATAGTTTTAATACTTTGGAAAAAAAAGACATAAATTGCGATAATTCATTTTTAATTCAATTAGACTAAAGTCTTAATAATCCCCCCCCAAAAACTTGTAATATTAGCAAAATGAAGACGTAACTTTAAGTCGAGATTTTCATACTTGTGGTAGCAAACAGATGAGAGCGGTGTCGTCAAATGATTGATGTTTCACCAATCATATTATGAGAGTAAGATGAAAGCAGTTACATGATGGATGAGCCAATAACCAGATGGGTTTTGTAGCAGCAGCTGGAGCTCAGCAGTGTTCTGGTTTTCTCCAGACAGCTGAGAACAGAGTTCCGTCATGGTGCTGATGTGAATGATGTGATGGCAGCCAAACTCTACCTGTCCTACAGTCTACTGTGCATTATGTTATTACTCTGCACTCTGCTGATATGATAGCACCTCATCTCACCCTGGATGAGACTAGGTTTAGGGAAGTGTCTGTGCACTGCTCTTCACTGAAGGTGGAAAACTGAAACTAACTGTTTAAAAACATCATAAATCTCACCATTGTGTGGCTAATTGTCCACAAAAATGTAAACTTCACCACCTCCGATAAAGTGCTGCACACAGCTGGATTCCTCAGCTTTTCAATGGGAAGCGTCCTGGAGTAGAGAGACCCAAACATAGCAAGGGTGACTGAAAGGGAGGGAGGAGCAGAGGAGACGTGACAATACGGTCCAAACATCAGTCCAAATAACTGTAGGCCACAGTAGCCTATGGACTGTCAAGAAATGCTAAAACATGCCCCTGCAATCCAACTATAAGCATAACATACTGTATGCGTAGAAGCAACCTTTTCTGTTTTGACTTTATTCTCAAAATATTGAGAATTTTTTTCATGAAATATTTCAACTTCTTTCTTGTAATATGATGACTTAATTCTCGAAATCTCAGATCTTTTTTTTTCTAACAGTGATTTTAAGACTCCATCATATATATCCCTAAACTATTAACTATTCACAGCCTGTAGTGCTTAATAAAATCTCATCAAGCTGTTGCACAACATTGTTTTCTTTTATTTAATACAAAACAGCAACAACGATTGTGTTCATGGAACTTTGTAGAGGAAATACTGTATTTAAAGTAACTTAAAGCTGCAGTTGGTCATTTTCATAAAAATAACTTTTTGTCATATTTACTTAAACTCAATATCCCGACAGTAGTACAGGAGACTGATAATCTGTGCTAAAATCAGCATCCTCTTGGTGCTCCTAATGGCATTTGCAAGATTCCACCACGCCCAAAGGAAAACAGCCAATCAGAGCCGAGGAGTCTCTTGACTTTGTCAATCACTGTCATATATCAATCACACTGTCACTAGGCAGGGCTGATTTAATATAAATCAAGATTATGATACTGCATTGCCTATTTCTTGCCTCAAATGATTTCAGAAACATATTTTCGTGTACTGTTTAAAATGAAAAAACTTGTTGAAAACAGTCGAGCCAAAACCAAGCACCGCCCACCGACTGGAACAAACTTTCTCGTTTTACAGCTAAACAGTACGCTTAAACAGGGTTTCTGAACACATTCAAGACAAGAAATAGACAATACGGTAACAGAATCTTCATTCATATTTGATCAGCGCTGCCTCCTTTGACAGTTTGATCTGAACTTTTTCTTTGGCCGGCGGTGGAATCTTCTAAATGCCATTAGGAGGCAGAGGAACCTAATTGTATCACAGATTATCTGTCTCATGTACTGCTGTCAGGATATATTGACAGTTTGAGCAAACATGGCAAAAAGCTATTTTCCTAAAAGTTACCATCTGCAGCTTTAATACATATATTATATTGACTGGTCAGTAGCAACATAGAAGTTACAGTAGTTATATTTTGGATTATAAAAAGAACAATAAGGGGTGAAATACATAATTCTACATATGAATTGGTATACAGTTTAGTGTTACAGTTTAGTGAACCAATAAAATTGCCATCATCAATTCCTGTGAAGTAAACAGGATTTGATGGTGGCCATACTCCCTTTTCTATGAGGATAAGTGGAGTGAGATTGATCAAAATGTTTATATGTAAATTATCATGTAAGCCAGGCGTCAATGTGGGAATGAGCAGAAAGACCGTAAGTAGGAAAACTCAGGAGGGGCAATAAACCGTGGTGGCAGAGGGCCTAAAAAGTGGCAAGTGGAGGTGAAGTGATTGCTAAAAGAGAGCGAGATAAAACAAATCCCCTTTATCTTTAAATAGAGTTAAAGAAAGCCCGAGAGCCCAGGCCTCAAGGTCAACGATAGCCCAATGCTCGTACTCAGGCCCACCATAATACCATGCATAATCACTTGCAGCTGCTCAGTAAATACTTGTCCATGCCTGCCTGCTCCTCCAAATGGCTAGGGAGGACTACAAAGAATCATCAACCAAATATCTAGTTCATATACTGAAAAGAAACAACAAGCAAAAACAACAAATTATATTTATCAATGTTCTCTTTAACACTGAACCAAGAGTGCTACCCTTACCTGTCAGTCTAGAGCTTTGCCTGGCTGCCAGGTCTCAGTCATTGTTACTGCTGCTGGAGACTAAATAATGATTTGGGGCAGGAGGAGGGAGGCCCCAGACCCCCATTGTGTGAAATTCAGGGAGTCCTGTCACGTCTCTTATTACGTGTCATGTACTTAACTCCCTGAGCGACCACGCAGGTAACTGTTAGCTAATGAAAGCACATTCGCAGTATGTGTTGAGGATTATCAGCACGATTAACAGGACATCTGAGCCCACGGTCAGAATGACGAGGAGGACTGACCGAAGATGGAACAGTTCACCACCTCTATAATTAGACCATCTTTAACATGGTTGATGATGCTTGTGGTCTTAACTCAGGAGTTTAACACTTTCATAGTTTTTACAAAAAACGCAGTTTGCTACACTGACTGCCTTAGCATGATGGTGATATATTTATAGGCTGTGTATGAAAGACAAGGTCTCTCTCAGGGTATTCCCTCTGCTACTCATTTTCTTCTCCAGCAGCAGCAGCAACATCAGCGGTAGTTTGGGAAAAGTAAAATTGGTTTGTTACCATGCATTGGGTTGGACAAATAAAGAAAAAAACGCCATGTCCAGGAAGGATGATGTCACCCCTCAAGATGATATTTGATGCAAAAGCACCAGAGCAATGACCAGAATGCACCAAAGATGGGGAGTAAAGGTTAAATAAAGACAAAGACCAGGGGCCACATACATAATGATTCACTAGTTAATGGACCGGTGTGTAGCATTTTGGGGAATCTATCAGCACAAATGGAATATAATATTCATACCTATGTTTCCATTGGTGCATAAACACCTGAAACTAAGAGTCGTCATGTTTTCGTTCATATATCTACAAAGGGAGCTGGTCCTCTTCATGCAGCCACTGCTAGATGCTAGCTCCTACACGCTGTCCCTTTAATTGCAGAAATGAACAGAACCATAAAAACCTGCTGTACTCTATGTACCAACCTGGATCAACAACTTAGAGACTAAAACAATATTAATAAACTGTATTTATAAAGCACTCGTATAAGAAAACAATAAAACAATTATAAAGTTATTGGTAAAATCTGAGGAAAACTTTCTGGCAAAATTGAGTTTCAAATAAAAAGAAAAAAGGTTACTATGAAGACCAGTTTAAATGCCAGAGACACGTATCTAAATGCCCCATCTATTTCTCCTTCTCCAGGTTGTATGTAATTAACTACAATATTCTCTGGTTGTGACATAAACAAATCATGTCAATCATGTTTCCTTTAATGAATACAAGTTTGAACTGTGAGGTCAGTGTTGTCTTCACTTGGTCTTTAGAAGGGGCATGGCATCTCTCACTTCCATTTGGCACCCTGACGCCAGCTGTCAGTAATGGGGCCGGGAGCCGACCTATCAGAATGGAAATAATCTCAGCACTTGTCACCAGCTGTTGACCCTCCTTTTGTCTCTTGACCTCTGAAGGGGCCGTGATTACTGGTGCTAGTGACAGGTTGTGCATTATAGTTCCTAACAGGGGAGTTGAGACCATCGGGAAGTTCCAGAAGAGTCCCGAATGGCCGATCTATTCTAGGCCAGTGGTCATTGAGTTTTTACCTTTCCATTTCTAATGTCAGTAGTTACTGTATGGTCCTCAGTCGTGGCGTGTGGGCCCACGGAGCCACAGAAGGCACAGAGCGGATCGCTGACTGTCAGACTTGGCCAATCTAATACTTTCAATACTGAGGGGGGTTACAAGCAGCCCCTCCCAGTTTGAGATCTGACTGATTCCATCTTAAAGTCCCAGACTAAATTACAGTCTCAGTAGCCTATGTCCCTGGTTGCTATACATAATAACTAATGTATGTTGAATAAGCTGTATGGGTTATAAATGATTAAAGGTGCTACATACAAAACTGGGAGCATTTTGATTTGACTCTCAATGGCTCTGAACATGGTGACGGTTGAGCCGGCAGCTTGTAGCTAATAGTGCTAACAGCACTAACAGGGCAAACTTTGGCAACAGTGCTGACTAAGCTAACTGTGTTTACTTGAGGGGTAACCAGCGTGTGGGTGGGGGAGTGACTTCATCCTCTGCTCAGGTAGACATTACTCTTAGATAATACTTGTTAACTGCTTTATCAATACTCTGAATATCATATATTCTGCCTTTAAATATTTATGCGAGACAGAACCCAGCTGGAGGCCATCATCTGCTACAAGTGATCCCAGAAGCAAGCAAAGGGCAGGGTCCCGAAAGCCTCTGAGGCTGTTCTCCTCAATCAGTGCCGTGTGCTAAACAGGAATTTCACACAGTTATCTTTGTCCTGCAAAGACACGACGCCATGTCAACGGCACTGTAACTGCGAGGGCCGGCTCGCACCCGCCGCTGACTGATAATGGGAGAAGGCTTCCACGGTGACCTCGGCATCGCATCGCAGCATGTCGCGCTGACATAGCCCTCCATTGTGTATCATCATTACCGCCTTTCAGTGAATCTCAAGCATGTCACCTGTGGCAGACCTCTGTCTATGTTGCCTCGCACTTGTCGCCTGGTTAATCTCACAGAGTCCTGTTCTTTATTTAGACCGCCCCATGCGGTATCTGGTGGCTGTTTATATTACCCCAAAGTCCATTCTATGATAACTTAACGCAATATGTTACCAATGCCTCACTGCGACTCCACCTAAGCCTTCTGGGTAATTGACACCCATACATGACATGCTTATCTAGAATATCCCGCCAAATATTTTCTACGTCTTCCGTTGTGTTTAGAAAACAATACCAGTACTTTGCATTTACGGAATACTCTGGATTCATTTTCATTATGCAAAGAATGTTAACTCTGCTTTTTAGTTTTTTTGCTGCTTATTTCTTTGTCAATCTCCAACATTTATTATTTAAAAGTTTATCTTTTGTAAATTTAGAAATATATTGAATTAGAATGTAATGTGATGATTTCTAATTTTCAAAACAGATATATAATACCTGGCTATTTTCACTCTAGATTCTAGCGATATGCTAAAATGCTTGCTTACATTTTTTATTGGATGATTTTTTTTTTACTTTGCGTGAAAGTGCAGATCATCAAGGAAACATTATATAATAGTATATAAACATATTTTTAACATGTTTTCTCTCATTTTCATTTATATTGGTAATATTTCCATTTGTCCTCTAATAGCAAACAGCTGTTTGTCCACATTTCAATTACATCAATGATCATCTTTGATCGACCTGCCTGACAAAAAAAGAAAAGGTCTGACAAATAAATATTTAAAGTAAAAATAAAATTAGAAAGATTTTAACATCCTAAAGTTTATCATGTCACCATCTGTTTAAATATCACCACATCTATTTTAATCATAGACCATTCAAATCCATTAAAACAGTTTTTGATAGGTATAGGTCTTGCCTGTCCGAAGTGAGGATGCTTCTGCTCATGTATTGTTCCTGTAACAGAAGCTCACTTAAGGGATGATGAGAAAGGAATTCCTCCCAGTGTCTTTTTAAAGAGTGAGTTGTGGTCCCCCGGCTGCTTGAGGATACCTATGATTAATCACTGCACTGCATGGAGCTCCTAATATGGCCTCGTCAGGAGACCCCATCGCTGATAACACTCTGACCTGCTGATTTCTATATTGCTCTCCGCCACTCATTAACCCCCTCCCCTCACGCACCCCCCGACCCCACGCAGACACAATAACATTCCTGGACCCTGAACGCTCCTCCATATTTGGCAGAGAGGCTTTGTTTATAAGGGGAACTCATGGTGAAACCCCCAACAGGTCACCATTCTATCTCAAGGTAAGGTGCGGGGACAATGGCTCACACAACACTTTGAGCATTACCTGTGTTGGTGTGGGCTTCAGACTGCTCTCATCAATTTCCATTATTTACTTCCTCAGGACCATTACACCTCAGTCTCCTTGGTAGGGATTGGTAAGGTAAGAGCAACTGAAAAATGAAAATGCGTTTGATTGGAAAAGCAATAAAATCTAACACCAATATGTGATAAATTAACTAATACAAAACTGACAATATTGGCATATGCAGTGTTTTTATTCTGAATTTCAATCATTTTTTCCTGTAGACAAGGTGAAAAATGGGCGATGCTGTCATGAGAGATTTCGGGGCAGCAGCCTCTTACCTGAGGAAGTCAGACAGGGAGCGTCTGGAGGCCCAGACCCGTCCCTTCGACATGAAGAAGGAGTGCTTCGTTCCGGATACGGATGAGGAGTTCGTGAAGGCTTCTGTCACCAGCCGTGAGGGGGACAAAGTCACTGCTCAGACTGCAAAAGGGAAGGTCAGTGAGCTGGCAGGCACAGCTGCTCTGGATGCAACTGGTTTCATAACTAAGACACAATGGTACAATGCAAGGGATGATTCAGGTCCATTTGTCCTTTAGTTCTACAGAGCAGTGAAACAATAGGAGACTGATGCTCCTACTGCGGGATCACACAGAAAAGCATTACATTAACATTCACTATCTCCATTTTCAGACTGTCACAGTGAAGGAGTGCGATGTCCACCCTCAGAACCCGCCGAAGTTTGATAAAATTGAAGACATGGCGATGCTCACCTTCCTCCATGAGCCAGCTGTGCTGTTTAACCTCAAAGAGCGTTACGCAGCGTGGATGATCTATGTGAGTTGAGGCAAAGACTGTATCCCTCACCTATAGTACAACTACAGCATAATTGTATCTTTTAAAATCATTAACTCCCTCTATTTCATTCTCACAGACCTACTCTGGACTCTTCTGTGTGACTATCAACCCCTACAAGGGGCTGCCAGTCTACAACCAAGAGGTGGTTGTTGCCTATAGAGGAAAGAAGAGGACTGAAGCTCCTCCTCACATCTTCTCCATCTCTGACAATGCATACCAGTACATGCTGACTGGTAATTCCCCTTCAGTTATTATAACATTCACAGAGAGGTGAATCCTAGAATCCTCCAGTGATACTTTCTTCTCTTTTCCAGACAGAGAAAATCAGTCAATTCTCATCACGTAAGTTGTGTTTTCGTGTTATCCAGTTGAGAATGATATATATCTGTGAGAAATATTGTTTGTTTTGTGAGTTTTTGCTGATATGCTTCAGTTACTCCCGGTAATGTATATTGTTATTTTAAGTGGTATGTTATCAGTGAACAGTTGCGTTTGTTGATGCCACAGTGGAATAAAGCACCTAAATATGAACATTAACATTATATTATAGATTTACTGGCAAGAAACGAAATAGCCAAACAATAATCAGGGTGTATTCTCAGCCTGTTCTCATACCAATGGCATCAAAGAACTGCGCTTTGTCACATCCCTCAGCATCTGATAACGACACACATCCCCTTTACCATCTGCATGAGATGCACAGGGCTCCCAAGTAACTACAATGTTAACCCATCCACTACATTATTAGACCTTCAGGATGTTAGGATGTAGTACGTTGACAGAAAACACTCTTTCGACCGGTGTTAGAGACAGGTGCTGCTGTCCTAAAGTGTTGTTGAGTCATTTTGAAGTTATGTTAGTTATGTTGGTGACTTAAGTTCACGTACCTATTCTAAACCCACCCATGATGTTTTTCCTAAACCTGAGTAATTGGTTGTGTTGCCTAAACTAAGTTTACATACTTATTTTAAACCCAACCATGATGTTTTTCCTAAACCTAACTAAGTTATTTTGTTGCCTAAACCTAAGCAAGTGTTTTTGTTTAAATTAACAACGTTAACCACGTAAGTTAACCACGTGTTTATTGCGACCAGTACTTGGCTGCCATGTGTGTAAGAAAATGATGCTAAAGCATCAATATTGTCTTTAATCAAACAACCTGAATAGTTGGAGAGGCTGCACTGTGTGTTGTCAACTTATCAAACACATTTGTGTCTTCAGGGGAGAATCTGGTGCTGGTAAAACTGTCAACACCAAGAAAGTCATCCAGTACTTTGCCAGCATCGCAGCTGCAGGCGGGAAGAAGGACGCAGGCTCTGACAAAAAGGTTATAATGCTGAAACATTTAACGGCACATTGAATAATGTTCTTTAGATTTGAACTATTTGAACAAATGTTGCACTCCTCAATTCTTTCAGGGAACCCTGGAGGATCAAATCATTCAGGCTAATCCTGCTTTGGAGGCCTTTGGGAATGCCAAGACCATCAGGAATGACAACTCTTCTAGATTTGTAAGTTTCTGTCTGTAATGAAATACCCCTTTGTGCCAATTCTAATTAACACATTTTCATTGGCATCATTTTTAGGGCAAATTCATCCGAATCCACTTTGCAGCCAGTGGAAAGCTGGCCTCAGCTGATATTGAGACATGTAAGCAGTCTTTTCTCTTTGCTTTTCATTTTGTCTGTTCACATGTTCTTAATGATCACCAAACCCACTCACATAATGCAAATGTCTATACAGATCTGCTGGAAAAGTCCCGTGTCACCTTTCAGCTTAAGAATGAGAGAGATTACCACATCTTCTATCAGATTCTGTCTCAGAAGAAACCTGAGCTGCTTGGTAAATAAAAAACTGATCTGTGACCAGTAGCAACAAGTAGTTGTAATGTTGCTACATCCCTACTGGCATACAGAATCTAACACTTCTGTGTTGCTTCTCAGAGATGCTGCTCATCACCAACAACCCCTATGACTACGCCTTCATCTCCCAAGGAGAGACGACAGTAGCCTCCATCAATGACTCTGAGGAGCTGATGGCCACTGATGTGAGTAGGGATGAACCATGATGTCTAATCATGGAGCCGGCCACTCACACCAAAAAGTCAAGTAAAAGGGTGACATTTTACAATAACCATCATCACTAAATGGTTAATTAAACTTTAGTTAATAGTTATCTAAATGTTGACAAACAATGGCATGATAATTATTCATGTTTACTTATTATTAGTTATGCTATAATTTATGTTATTTTATCATTAGTTTGTGTAATATAAAACATTTAGAAACTATATATTTCATCATAGCTAATATAATAGAAGATAACAATTACCTTTTGATTACATTTGTAAACAATTTATTACAGATTTTATTTTTGCATATATTATAAGATTTGATAAGCTATATCAAGTATTTGTTAATGATTACCAAATGATTTGTAAACCTTTAAGTAATTGTTTGTAAAACATCTATAAACCCGAAATAGATAGGACCAAAAACCAATTGTTAACCATTGACTATTAACTATTTATCTCAATAATGTTTTAATAGATAGTAATAGATGCTTTACAAAGTATTTATTAGCCATTTAAAAAGGTATTATAATCATCAGCAGCTGTATAATATTCATCCAAATAATGTGAGTAGATTGTTAATGGTTATTAATTAGGTTGTCAACAAAGTGTTACAGGTATCTGATCTATAATGTTTATTCAGTAGATGTTTTACAAATGATTTCTTAAAAGAAAAATCATTTGGTAATCTTTAATAAATGCTTTGTTAAAGGTATATATATATAGAGAGAGAGATTTAGAGCATTTCAATTGCCTCTCAATGGCTCTCAACATGTCGACAGCTGAGCCAGCAGCTCGCAGTGCTAACAGCGCAAACTTTGGCCACATTGCAGACAGAGCTAATGTGTGGAGGAGCAGGAGGGTGGGCTCTAACATTTCTACCAACAGTGGGATCAGCTGTAACCGCCGTATGAGCGCAGTGCAAAGTGGCGGCCGTGAGCTAACCAGAGGGGCACGCTCACATAGAATAACATGCACTAACATGCACTAACATGCACTTAAGGGCGCGCAGATGGCCCAGCTATGTAAGGAAAGCAAGTGAAATCTTGGATAACAACACACACAGAGGAGTGACTACATTCTCTGCTCAGGTAGACAATACTGCACTATATCTTTACATAGATGATAGCTTTTTGCTGCTATATTAATGCTCTAAATCCTATATATTGCACCTTTAATATCGTAAATAAACTGTTATGATGTGTGCAACAATAAACTGTTCAAATAAAGTAAATTAAAGCATCACTAATAATTAGTAAACATTATTCATTATTATTCTTATTGTTTGTTAACAGGATAATAACTATTAACTAAAGTTGAACTAACTATCAATTTACCATTTATTAATGATGGCTAGTATAAAGGGTGAGGGTTGTTGAAAAATGCTCTGGCTTCCTGCATGTTATTTCGCATCTAGCTGTTGATCTAGCATTATGAAACTTGATGTCACTTATAACCCAGTATCATTGTGTCTCTAGCCAAAGATTTAAATAGACTCGATTAGATTCCAACTATGGTTATAACGTGGGATCATGGTGGCTCAGAGAGCACATTCTATCTTATCCCCCGGATCTCTCCTGCCACTCTACTGTGTACCCGAATACAATCTAAAAAGTCAATGACATATCAAATATAATATCCCTCTTCCCAATTTAGGATGCCAAAACTAGCACAAATGTTGAGAACTTATCCTGTGCTCCTCCACAGGATGCCTTTGACGTACTGGGCTTCACTCAAGAAGAGAAGAACGGCATTTACAAGCTGACTGGTGCCATCATGCATCACGGCAACATGAAGTTCAAGAACAAGCAGCGTGAGGAGCAGGCAGAGGCTGATGGCACTGAAGGTGAGACAAGCTCTCTGATCAGGGACATGAAACATGTCAGAATTGAATGAGTTTATTAAGAGATTATGCATTTTCTCAGGTATTGACAAAGTCGCATATCTGATGTGCCTGAACTCTGCCGACCTCATCAAAGGTCTCTGTCACCCACGAGTCAAAGTAGGAAATGAGTGGGTCACCAAGGGACAAACTGTCCAGCAGGTAATAATGCAACTTATTGTAAGGTGTTCCTAAAGTACAATAGATAAAGGAAGAAACACTGACTGCAAAACAAAGGCTATTTACTGTAGCTTTCAACGGTTGGATTTTCCTTTAGGTGTACTATGCTGTTGGCGCACTGTCTAAATCAGTGTATGAGAAGATGTTTCTGTGGATGGTGATGAGGATCAACCAATCCCTGGACACCAGGCAGCCCCGCCAGTACTTCATTGGTGTACTGGACATTGCTGGATTTGAGATCTTTGAAGTGAGCTTCTTCTATATAATATATATTATACAGGCAACTTTATTTAATCAACTCCATCTTTTTCAATTTAATGCAGGTAACACATATACGAGTATGAAAATGACTACTTACTTATAAATACTTTTGTCACATTTCATTCCAGTTCAACACCTTTGAGCAGATGTGCATCAACTTCACCAA